ATAACCCGGCTATTTATATTATAAAGTTTATATAATATTATATTATAAATAACTAGTAAATTCGAGCTTATTATAAAAAGAAAAATTAAATATTTAAAAAAGCTAATAAAAATATAAATAAACCAAACTCAGAAAGTGTTTTTTATATAAAGCCTATTTTAAAAACTTTAATAATAAATAAATCTATTATTTTAAAGCCCGGTTTCTCTAATTTCAAAGATTATAATTATAATAGATTTAATTATATATCTAGAAATTATCTAAAGCCTAAAATAGAATATATAAAATAAAATTTAGTAACTAAGCTAATAGTATTTATTATAAGTAATTCGTCTAAAAATATAAAGTAAGAAAATAATAACCTTTAAAAAAAGTCTTTTTTTTAGGGTTATATTATATTAATATAATAGAAATCAATTTGAGTTAATTATTTAAAAATAATATAGTTATATTTTTTTATATAATTAATAATAATAAATTAGATATTAAGACTCTTTCTTTTATTAATACTAAAGTAAATAGATATATTTTTATTAATTCTAAATTTATGAGAATAATTAAATATTTCCTAAATTTAAATTTATTTAATAAATATTACTTTATAATATAAGAGAATTTAATAATAAATAGGCTATATTTATTATTTATTATATTAAGCTTATATTTTTAATTAATAAATAAAAAGTTCTAATACTTATATTAGTTATAAAACTAAGTAAATATAATATAATTTTGAAATAATAATAGTTTATAAATACTAGTATCTTAATTAAATATAAAAATAGAAGATTAATTTAGCTAAATAATTAGCCTAGAAAAAAGAATTAAAATAAGGTTCTAATTATTATTTATAAGAATTTAAACTCTAAAAAAAATAACTAATACTAAAAAAATCTAAATAAATCTAAAAGACTTTAAATTATAAAAAAAAACCTTTGGTTATATAAGTCCGGCTTAAAAAGCCTTATATAATAAGAGAATTAAGCTTAATTCTATAAAGAAATATAAATAGCTTTAGAAAATATAAAGGTTTTTCTAAACTAAAAACAGAAATATTAAAGCTATATTATCTAAAGAAAAGCTATAAGAGTTATTTAAGGCTTATAATTAATATTATAAGCATTTTATTAGCTATTTTCTAAATAAACTTATAGAAAAAGAAGATTTTTTTTTATAATATTATTTTTCGAAATTAATAAAGAGCTAGAATTATAATAAAAGAATAAATTTTTTTCGGATAAATAATAACTAAGAGAAATAGAGTTATAACAGCTAGTAAAAGTTTTATTAAAAGAATTTAAGGATTTTATAAATATTCTCTTAAAAAAAGTATTAAATATTTTACTTTTATATTAGTTCTATAATTATAAGATTTAGATTAATAATTCCAAAAACCCAGAAAGCTTAAAGTATTCCTGCTTTATTAATAATTAATTTATAAGCTATAAAAAATTTAATATTTCTTTAAAGAAAACCTCTAATAAGGCTTTATTAAATTAAGCTAATTTCCTTTTATATTTCTAATTCTTTTTATAAAAAAGGCTACAGGAATTTATAATTTTATATTAATTATTAATTATTATACCTGAAAAATATATAAAAAACTTTCCCTAATTATAAAACCGTTTTTTATAACTCTAAATACAGGCCGTAAAATTATACTAAAATTATAATTTATATCTCATATATTATAATATCATATATAATTATATAAAGCACTAAAATTAAATATTAGTCTAATTAATATTCTAGTACTTATTAAATACTATATAGGAAAATTTTATATATATATATAGCTTTTATATAGCTAAAATTATAATTTATATAATAAAAAAAATATTTTATATTTTATAATTATTTATAAGAATATTATTATTATTAATTAAATATTAGTAATATTAAAATATTGAATTTTATTTATTTATATTTATATTTAATTAATTTAAAGTACTAGAATAAATTTGAAAATTAATAAAGTTTTTAATATAATTCAAATTTTTTAATTCTTAATAATATAATTAATTCTAATTTATTAAATATATTAAATAATATAAAATATAATATAATTTTTAAATTATTTTCTTAACTTATATAATAGAACTTATTATATTTATTATTTTAAAGATTTATATAATATTAAATTTAATAAATATAAAAAATAATAGAAATAATAATAACTTTAATATTTTCATTATTATTATTATATATATATATATAATATTAAATAATCTAGACTAAATTTCTTAATTAGAATATAAAATAAATATTTTTAAATTATTAAATTTAATAAAATATTCGAAATTTATTTATTTTAAACTTATTTTTTTTAATTTAATATTATAGTTTTATTTTTATATTAAATAGAAGAGCAAATATTATATTAGAGTTAGGATTTTTAATAAGTTTTTAATAGGAAAGGCCTATATAAATTTTGGCTAATAAGCTTAAAGAAAGTTTTTATAATTTAAATAAGTTTACTTTTCTAAAAAATCTTAACTCTTATATATATATTTTTTTTACTTCTATTATTTCTTTAATTAATTCTTATTATTAAAAGATAATTAATATTATAATTAAATAAAGTAAAACCCGAATATATATTAAATATTATATTTTAATAATAAACTTATTTTTAGTTATTAGTTACTTGTTTTAATTTTTTAAATATTATATAATAATTTACTAATTATAAACTTATAAGGCTTTATTTGCTTATTAATTATTATATTTAAAAATTATAAAAAGAACTTCCTAGAATTATAAGACTTCTTTTTATAATTCTAAATATAAGCTATAAAGCTATATTAAAATTATAATTTATATTTTATATATTATAATACTTTATATATTTATATATAATATTAATATTAAATATTTATTTAATTTATATTTTAATACTAGTTAAATATTATATAAGAAAAGAATTATATATATATAGCTTTTATATAAGAGAAATTATGAGTTTTATAATAAATTTAATATATTTAAAATACTAATAAAAGTTTAAGAATTAAATTTAATTTATATAATTATATATTCTGTAATTAAAATTAAAATATAATGTAATATAAATTAAATATAAAGAACTTTAAGAAAAGTCTTATATTTATTATTTATATTATTAATAAAACTCTTTTTTTATTTTAAATATTAAGAAATAATTTATATAAACTTATTACTTTTATTTATATTTAATATAAATATATTATTATTAACTTATAATTATTTAAGTTTATATTTCAATAATAATAATTAGTGTTTCTTAATATATAATTATTAATTTATTAGTAATATATATAAAATAATAATTATATAATTAGTAAAATAATTTGTTTTTTCAAAAAAAAGTATAATATTATAATATTAATATACTTTTCTTAAATCTATTAAGCCTAATTAAAACTAGTTTAGTAATTAAAGTATTTATATAATATAAATCTCGAATATTTTAAATATTAATAAATAATTACTATAAACTTATATAACTTTTTATTATTTTTAAATCGGTTATAATACTTAAATATAATATACTAACCAATTTTAAAGTAAATATTTTCGAGTAAATAATTATAAGAAAGAAAACATAAATAAATATAATATATATATATATAATAATAAATATTAGGCCAAATTTAATAATTTAATTAGGCTAGTATTTATATAAGATTATATTTCCTAATTTGAACTAGTACTTTTATATATTTAATAAAATATTAAATAATATATATAATAGTAATTAAAGCTCTAAAAATAAGTATTAATTAATTTATTTATTAAAACCAGTTCTCGAAATTAATTATATTTTAGATTTCATTTCATATTTTAATTACTTATATAATAAATAAACTTAAAAAAATTACATTTAGTTATTAAATTAAGCTAGTATTAGAATATAATATTTTAGAAGTAATTAAAGAAATAATTATTATATATAAACCTATAAATAAAATATTATTATAAAAAAACTTTTATTATATAAGATTTCGAATAATAAAGCTAGAAATTCCGGTTAGTAAACTCTAATTAATTCTAATATATATAAGGGCACTTGGCTTTATATTTAAAGAAAATGAATTAATAAGTAAAATACTAGCCTTAATTAAAATAAATATTTTAGTTTTATATTTACTAGTTTTTCTTTTATTAACTAATTAAAAATATTACTTTTTTAATTGACTTTTAAATATAATAATAAACAAATTTATAAATAATATTAAATAATACTTTTATAAATATAAAGCAATATATTAAGAAATAGTTATTATTATTACTAAAGTATAAACTTGAATAATTACAGGCTAATAATAACGCACTTGTATTAAATAATACCAGGCTATAAGTGAACTCCGGGAAGTATTTATGGAAGCGATAATCTTATATGAGGTGTCTCTTGTTGCCTGGAGGAGAAAGCAGAGTCCTGCCGGTAATGCAAATATAGTGAACTTTAATATTATAGCCAGTTATTGGCGATATAGATAGCAAATCTGTGCCCCCAACCCTAAATTTTGCAATTATGGATAGGTGACAGCCGAACAATTACAAAGGCTCATGCCACGCCCCAGCTGAACGGTATCTCCATTTATTCTGACAGGACCGCCCTTGACTGCGAAACGTGCAGGCATTCGCTGCCCAGAGGGGTTGAGGCGCCACCACATCCGAACGGCCTCTGCTGATTTAAGGTGAGACTCTTTACATGGTCGTGCTCTTATCTAAGAAGCAAGTCTAAGCCTAATGGGATCTGCTGCAAAGATGCAACGCTTCGCACTCACCATGCATAAACTGTCGTGTACGAAATAGCCCATCGCTTACTAACTCGTAAGGGGTAGCTGCCCCATCACAGGCAGTCATGAACACACCTTCAACTGTCGCCGAAACGTACCTAGGTAGATGCTTTGAAAGTACTGAGACACGTAGACTTCTCACGCACTTTGTTCAGAACGAGTGGCTTCACTTGCGCCCAAATTCAAAACCAAATTATTGAGGCAAGGGCTATCAACTCCTTATCCAACGAGAAAATACCTATCCTCTCTACGAGTATCGCTAGGCATAGATTTGAGGTCCATCAAACCATGCACATACACATCGCCAATCAACGTCGCAACGTTCCCATCTCCCTTTGCCTCCTCGCCATCTTCGAACCGCAGCACAAACAGCGGAGCACCTCCATACAAAACACAAATGACATCCCCAACCCGCAAATCAAACGGTCCTAAACCAACTCGTCTACCATCAGTGCTAAAGAAAGTCCGGGTTTTCTTCGCCTCGATGGACTGGTAGTAGGAGAGAACGCTTTGTCGCTCAGACGGAGTCACTGTGCCGACGTAATCCATGTACGTTGTATCGCTCTGCCATGTCCATTGCTCCTTGAGTCGCAGATAGTCTTCAAAGACCACTGGCTCCAGCGGGGTTTTGCCTTGGAGCGTCGAATCAGCCACCAACGTCCGCCAATGAGCATCAGGAATTTGATCATGGAGATCGTATGTCTGTTGCGAAAGCTCTAGGCACTTCACTTCCTCTTGCAGTAATTGGTCGACAGTGCCACCAGGTCCTTTCCATTTCTTGGCATCGTAGCAATATTCGGGGGAGCTTACGACGGTGTGGACATGATCGATCTGAAATCCGAAAAACTTCAAGTTGTCTGAATCTGGGACTGACAGAACGCGAGACTGTATCCGCTCCTCCCAGGAATCAAATCCTGCTTGATAGCCTATCACACCAGCAAAGACGAAGTCATCTCCAGGAGGCGAGTTGAAATTGGGGCACCATGAGGGTAGCTCCACGGGTCTGTGTTTGGAGCTCGCCATAGAGAGTATTGTGGACCCGTTCCTCCTGGTATACCGGTACTAGACCTTCGCGCAAGCAAGACGCCACTCGTCAGCGACTGCCATGAGATCCTTTGCGTCTGGTGTTCCCGCTCCCACGAGCCATCTGCTCCGCTCCGTCTTGGCAAGACGCATTGTCCTCAGACCGAGAGTCAGTAACACAAACATGAGGCACCACAAAGAAGGGAAACTGTTTGCCCCTATCCCCACAGATACCTACCCAGAAATATCGGCGGTTAAAGCTCACAATGTTTCATATTCTGTGCCTCTTTTTTTCGGCCCATTCCCAGCCTTCAATTCGTGCCTGGTGTCCCTTCCTGTGCCACAGCTACCACGATTCTTTTCGATGGTGATCTAGTCACATGCTGAGGCAATCCTCCACAAGAATCCGGCTTGATTTGAAGGGTGGGGCATCGAAACCGGAGATGGAACCGGACATGGCTCTAAATAGCGTGAAAGGGGTTCGCAATGCACGATAGCGTCATGTCGAGTATACCAGACGTCGAGGCGATAGCGCTTGCTTTCAGCTCCCCGTGTCACTTGAATTGGTGGAAGGATGGCGTCTAAGTTTCTGTTTCAATGTGAAGCTCAGTATAGCCATAGAGACGAAAGTAAAGGCGCGGCGTTGGTGTCGAAATACTATCGGTCGGCAGCATGATCCTTTCGGCTGAGGTGAGATCAACTTGCCTGCCGGTTACTCTTCAGAAGAACTACGATGTTGAATACAACGTACTATAGGTGGATGGAAACCGGCAGCTTGACTCACCAGCCGTTATCGCTCCAGGATGAAGTATCGAATGCGGAATTAGAAGAGAGGAGCCGAGGGAAACCGGTGGCCAAATGCAACTTCCTCGAGTTATACGCTGTCCTGAGCTCATTTATGTCTACTGCGTCTATGTCTCCTGCATCATAAAGGAGAAATTTACCTGCCTTCAGCAACGTTTTTCTTGTTCTGCGATTTCTCGAAACACCAGTCCAGCGCAACAGTGCTTCCCGTCATCAACTTACACATCTCACCCCTAACTTGCCACGCAATTGTTTCTCTCGAGCTCATTACGTTTTGTAAAATGTTTCACAAAAGCATGAATATCGCGCACCTCACTGTTGTTAATGCGTCACTTGTACTTGTGAGTCTAATGATCCATGACGTCCTCGAGTTTTAATTCCTCTATCTACTCTTATACACTTTCAATGTGAACTAACCTAGCTCACTAGGAATCTAAAGTCACCTCAAGTCCCGTGGCAGGGCGTCATTATGCAGATTTCCTGAACTTCTTCAATTCTCATCTTCTCCTTTCAGGAGTCTCCAATTTAGGATGGCAGGTCATGGTCATGGCTTTATCTCTCCACCACGGAGGCGCTTGTGTCTTCGAGAAAGAGAAATATGGTTTTGTGTGGACGGGGAGGGTAAATTCGAGTCTGACATTTTGAAGTGGCGGAGACTTCATAAGTGAGATGTGAAATCTGTGCTAACCGACCCAGGTATCACTTGAACCCTTTTATGTGAAGCTTTCTGTCGAGGCAACAGAATCTGGTGCAGGCGGCTCAGGCTCAGCCTCGAGCTCAGGCTCAGGTACAGGTTCAGGTTCGGGCACAAACAAACCAGACACAGTATGCTTTTCTTCCTCCAGTTGATCTTTCAACGACATAGAGTAGCGGTGCAGCCCTCCGCGAGATTATCCAACACATGGGAAAATAAATTGCTAAGTTTATCGCAGAGCGGCGGATACCAGAAAATGGCCGCTATATTTCTTACCTCGCCCTAGAAAAAGAAATGTCATACAGAGTTGAAAGTAGAGATCAGGAAGAAGGTTCTATGTGGATTTAGCTTTACATTGAGATTGAGAACCATGCTTTAGAGGGTAGGAACAAGGTTTTTCTGAGGCATCGGTCCAAAAGAAACGTCTGAATTTGAGAAATTGTCTAATGCTTACTGCTCGTGGTATGATTGTGAAATTGAATATTGACCCTTATACTTGGCCGCCATCGTACCTCGTACGCCACAGGGATGCGGGATTAGTCAGCTCACCCCCTTACAGGGCCAGTTCCTTACATACTGTCCCAGCCCGTGAAGACGCCCCGCACCAAAACACGTGCCGCACTAAAACACTCGCTTTTCACGGCTTAATAACTTAAGAACTAATAAAGTATTTAATATAAAATTCAAGACACTTATTAAACTTTAGTTAAATTCTATAATTATATTATTAATACGCCTATTAATTTATTAATTAAAATATAAGAAATTCTGAAAATATTTTAAACTTAAAATAAAATATATATAATAAATATATGAAATAATATATAAATAAATATTAGGTATTATAAATATAATTTCTATACTATTCCGCTATAGTATTCTTTAAAAGTATTATAACTTTTTATTAGAAAGATATTAAAGAATTCGAAAGTCGTATAGTATCTTCTAAAAGTATTAATAAACTTAATAGGAAATTTTATGTATTGAATCTCCTAATTTGGGCCGATTTTTAGACTCACTATTTATAAGAATCGGCCTTATATAAGCTAGGTTATTAATAAGCAAAGCTAGAAAATAATAAAAAACACGAATGATTTTTAGCTTAGGCTATTTCTTAGATAAAAAGCCCAAAATTTATATATGAGCTCTTATAGTAATATAAAGCTAGAATAGTAGCTAATAAGTCTAAAAATAGATCTATAATATAGTAAAAGTAATTTTAGTTTAATTTTTCTAATATTTTTAAGCTTAGACTTAATAGTTTAATAACTGAAACTTTTCTAAGTAAGTTTTATATTGTATTTAGGCTTACTATATATAAAACTAGTCATATATAGATTTTTAGCTAATTCTATTAATAGTAAGTCTAAGTATTTAAATAGAAATACTTATATTTTAAGCTAAAACTAAAAGCTTAATTTATATATTAGAAGTTTTAAATAAGCTATAATAAAAGTACTACTTCTATATAATATAGGATAATGGCTATTAAAGAAGCTACTTTATATAAGAATCGGACTACTACTTCTTTTATAATTAATTTTAAAAGAATTAAAATAAGAGAAAATCTTAGATTCTTTAATAAAATTATAATTATAATATTAAATATAATAAAACTAAGGCCTGTATATAATATATTATATTCAGGAATTCTAAAAACAAGCTTTTTATTAAATTCGAATTAGTAATATCTTTTTAACTAATTTTAATTTAATAAAACTAAAGGAAATCTTAGATTCTTTAATAGAATTTTAATTATAATATAGAATATAATAAGACTAAAGCTTATATATAGTGTATTATATATAGGAATTCTAAAAATAAACCTTTTATTAAATTCGAATTAGTAATATCTTTTTTATTGATTTTAATTTAATTAAAATAAAAGCAATTCTTAGATTCTTTAATAAAACCTTAGCTATAATATTAAATATAATAAAACTAAGACTTATATATAGTATAGTATATCTAAGAATTCCAAAATAATCTTTTTATTAGAATTAAGTTAATAGAACTAAAAGTTAGAAGAGACTTATTTAAAATCTTAAAATAAGCTTAGCTAGTTTTATTTATAAGTAATATTTGAGAAAACTAAATAGGAATTTCGAAAATCAAAAAATCTATATATTAGAATAATAAATATAATTCTATTAATACTAATTATAATAATATAAGTCTCTTATATATATAAGCTTAAAAAATACCTTTTATATATATAATATTAATAAATAAAATAGAAATAAAAAATTAATATTTTATTTTTAAAGAATTTAATAAATTAATTAATTAAAAAGATATAATATTATATTTTTAAGATTTTATTTAGTTAAAAGAAAGGTAGTTATTAATATTATAGATTCCGAAGTTCTTTTTAAAATTCCTTTCGAAATTTTCTTTAAAACTTTCTTTAAAAACCTCTTTAAGAACTATATTCTTATTAATAGCTAGGCTATTAGTAAAGTCAAGGGCTTAGATAATATAGTATAGCAGGCTATACTTTCTAAAAATTATATTATTTTAATAGTTTTAAGGTTTTAGTTATATAATAAAAGCTATAGCCTTTTATATATAACTTATAAGAATTATATAAAAAAGCTGGTTTTTCTATAATCCTAAATAATAATTCCTTTTTTATATTTAATTAATTAAGCTTTTATATATTATATACTATTTATACTTTTAATTTTATTATTTTACTATTAGATTACGTTTTATATTCTTATATACTTTATATAGGTTTTTATTTTATTATAATTTCTCTTTTATATATTTTATAATAAATAATATAAGAAAAATCGAAACTTTATAATTAAGATAATACTTTTATAAAATTCTAAAGGGTTTTTATAAAGCGAATTATTAGCTTAGTAAATTTAAAAAGAAAAAGGCTATTATAATACCTTAAGCCTAAAATTAAAATATTAAAAATATATAAATATTAATCTTAATATCTTATATTAATTTCCGACATATCTAGTAACTTAAATACGAGTTAGCTATAAGATATAATTACTAGTATAATATATAGAAATAATAAAAATAGAGGCTAATTATAGAAAGAAAAGAAATAAAAGAAATAAAATAAGAAATATTATACTAAAATAATATAAGTTAGACTTTAGTTAGAAATAGACTTTAGTATTTAGAAATAAAATTATATTATTAATTTATATATTATTTTTAATTAGAATAAAGATTAGAATAAAAATAATACTAGTTTTAGTAAAAAAGCTTATTTCTAAATTCGGGAAAAATATTTAAAAAAGGAAATATTCTTAAATTCAAGTAAAATAATAAACTAGAATTAGAAATAAGAATTAAAAAGTAATTAGAAATAAGAAATTATATAAATAATCTAGAGAAGCTTCTAGAAAAAGAAAAAAAATACTAAATAAAGAAAAGAAAAAGAATTTAGAAAAATCAGAAAAATTAGTAAAATTATTTTTATTATTTTTATTATTACTTTTAATAATATTATTAAATATATCTAATTTAGTAAAAA